TGACCAAGGATTTATTTCGAAATTTTCCAGTAAAGTACCGACTTTCTGAAATAATAATTGAATAAAAATAATTTCCATTATTTTACCCACAAGTGTTAAAGTTTAATTTAAGTGACGAATAACCTGAACAGTTATCCCTTCACATTGAAGCGGTTCAAGGTATGCAAGGTAGGTAATGATGAAATTTTTGTAAAATCACAGTGGACAATACTTCAAATCATTTTTTAAGTAAGCTAATTATGATGTCATATGATGAAGTGAAAGGGATAAAAGTTGCGTTTGTGATTTAATCAAATTTCTAGATCCCTCTCAGATAAGAGATCTTCTAAACCACAAAATAACTTAAAATAAATTGTAAAGTGCTTGTTTGAAGTTATCGCTGATGGTAAGAACTCGAATAGTATTGGAAAGAGTGTTTCGGTACATGAGGAATCGCATTATATTATTATTAAAATCTAATGTAAAATATTTGATGTCTTAGGAATTTCATTGAATATCATAATAATAGGAGCAAGTTTTTAATATAAAATATTTGTAGAAATAAATAAATTAAATAGTAATAAATTAATTGTGTTAAAGTGAGCATTTTGATGCACTGTACAATCAATTTAACAAGCTTTCTGTATAATTTCCTACATGCTCAAGAAATTCCGGTTACACCATCTGCAATGATTACGGTGAATCGTACTGCGCCTCAGATAATGATACGTGACTATTTTATCAACTTTGCAACATTTAAGTTATTTTGTATACATGTATATTTATCAATTTTTCAATACTTTTATTATTTATAATTATAAGAAGGCGTAGCTTAGTAATAGTTTAGAATTTTTATATAAATAAACATGAAAGTTGACCTTAATTCAACAGAATTTTCTCAGATAATGTTCTGAAAAAGTCTTGGGACTAGACTTATAATTATACAGATTAATAAAGATACTATTTTACATTTTCAACCTTCTTCTTTTTCTTATTATAAGAATCTGATCGTGATCGTGTTAATTAACTACATAAGTGAATCGTTCGTTTTGATGTTAGGCCTTCGAGATACTGAAGATTTTAAGATATTTGGGTTGTTTAGCTTGGTTTCGGTACAATTCCATATTCCATATGAAGGCTAAATAACTATCATTTATTTTGAGTTTTAGTACATATAACATTCGAGACCTTCATTTTGTAAACTTATGATATCGCTCATGTTAACAATTTACGTTTACTTGTTAAAAAAATTTAATAAATATTTGTCAAATTTATTACGAATGACCAGGCTGTGAGATGAAGTCATACGGTATTTTTTAATAATACAAATAATAATAGAAGAAATATATGAACATTTATTTCATAATTTTTTGAAAGAATACACGATAATGAACTAATATAATTCTTTTTTTTTTACACTTTTATTATTTATTTCAATTATTTATTGAATCGTCAGTTATTTCACATATGGTGATGAGGATCCAGAATTTGGCGCAATAAAAAAGGGTTTTATGTGCTTCTACAATAACAGATTAAAATGAAACCAAATAAAAATATCATTTTAATTAAAATTTTTACGGGAATATTGATTATCCTTCAGTTTTATATATTAATAGAGGAGCACATAAAGTAAGTGAAGCGATATTTTTCCTTTTTCTTTTTTTAATATTTAGCACAACATAATTTTTGCATCCGTGTATATGGAGATTTCTGACATCATTCGACGAAACAAAATCACGATACTTTACGAACATTTAACTAATACATCACTTATACCAAGTCAAAGTGTTGAAGAGTCATCCTCAAAATTTGACGTATATATATTATTGGATGGGGAGTAGCTATATCGGTTACAGGACCGTCATATAGTGGCACATTTTCACCAATCGATGAAGGGCCTCATGACCGATATAGCCCCACATCCAATAAAAGTGTTATTGCGTCAGTCACACAAGATCATAATATTGTAATAATGAAAATTATCCGGTATCCCG